TTTTTTTTTTTTTTTTTTTTTTTGGGAAGATTTTATTTATTGGTCAGAGAGAGAGAGTGCGCAAGCAGGCAGAGGCAGAGAGAGACTCGTGCTCCCTGCTGAGCAAGGAGCCCAATGAGGGGTTCCATCTCAGGACCCTGGGATCATGACCTCAGCCAAAGGCTGCGGCCCAACTGCTTCTAGAAAATTTTTTTTTTTTTTTTAAGATTTTATTTATTTATTTGACAGAGATCACAAGTAGGCAGAGAGCGAGAAGGAAGCAGGCTCCCTACTGAGCAGAGAGCCCGATTTGGGACTCGATCCCAGGACCCTGAGATCATGACCTGAGCTGAAGGCAGCGACTTAACCCACTGAGCCACCCAGGTGCCCTGGACTTCTATTTTTAGAGTATGCAACTAAATACTATCATTAAAATATTAAATAATTTAGTTCTTAATCACTTTAAATGAAAATGATGGAGAGTCCAAAGTAGTCAATTTAGATAGATGCAGCTTTGTGGTATAATTTTATAAATAAAATGTTTGGATGTGATCATATTTCAGGGAAGTAAACACATTTCAAAAGTGAGTTTTAGTTGAAGAAATAACTATTTGTAGTTTAAAAAAAAACACATCCCAGTTTGCTCCTTGAAGCATTTTTTATATAGTTTTTAGGTTTTTGTTCTGTTTCTGGCTTATTCTTCCACTCTGTTGGAGTACTCTTGTGTCCAGTCTTCCCATTTCTCTTTTTACTCAAACTCCCTGTGTTACTTCATTCGGTCAGATGATTTTCTATACCATCCAAGCTAATGATTCTCATGCTTGCATCACCAGACTTAACTTTGAATGACATGCCAGTCTGTCTAGTTACCTAGCTGACTGCACCCCTGAATATGAACTATATCAATTTAAAACTATATCAATTAAAAGATGGGGCTCCTGCTGTTCTCTCAAACCAGTGTTGCCAGTTGCAGTTAATGAAACTCCAGTTTTTATGTCATAGAGTCAGACTTCAGTTAGCCATCCTGTTTTTTTTTTTTTTCTTCTCCTAGACCTCACCTTCGGGCTTGATGGAGTATCCTGTCAGGGCTTCCTTTAAAATACAAGTATTGATCACACTGCCATGGCTTGGTCCAGTTTCAAGCTGCAGTTGTCTCTTGTGCATTATTGGGATAGGTTTAGGTTTCTTTTACCCCTTCCCACTGGTGTGTGGTAGCTAGATTGGTCCTGCTCAAATGTAATGTTGGAAAAACATACTGCTTAAAGGATTTGCCGCTTGAAACTCAGTAGCTCCCTATTTTCAGTGTTAAAATTCACTGTGATGGGGCACCTGGGTGGCTCAGTGGGTTAAAGCCTCTGCCTTCCGGCTCGGGTCATGATCCCCCAGGGTCCTGAGATGGAGCCCTGCATTGGGCTCTCTGCTCAGCGGGGAGCCTGCTTTCTCTTCTCTCTCTCTGCCTGCCTCTCTCCCTACTTGTGATCTGTCAAATACATAAATAAAATC